CTATACATGCAGACACACAGGGATTGACATTTTGGGAAAGAAAACACAATTACATGTATACAGGGTGAATGGTTTCCCACAAAGCATGCTAAGTGAGCTAAACAGCATGAGCTTCATGAGCTGACAAGCACTACAATACAGTACATGACATTTGGAGTAACTTTAAAAAATTAATAAAAAATCCAAATATGATTGGAATTGGCTCAAACTTTCTACACAAAATAAGAAAATGTATATGTATCAGACAAAATTATAAAAAATTGAGAATTCTCTCCTTGCGATTTTTGTTAAAATTCCTGTACAGGGTCTTTGGCCCAATTTGAGCAACTTCACAATCCACTGACAAGAAGCTACATGAGCACTATATGCTGTGGAAAGCCCTGCATATATAACTCACCATATTGTACATTGTACATTCATGTACACATATCCACTCCTTACCTCTAATACAAGTCCATTCCCTCCTTCCCTCAATACTCTTGCACCTGGTAATGCATTAGGTTGTGTATAGACCTTTCCACTGAAGAACTTAATATTATCACCCTAAAATAAATATGATATACACATCCAATTACAGTATCTCCTTACATAAAAGCATTGACCAGCAGTATCAAAAGCCTCTAAAGCCTGTCTCTTAATCTGTTGCTCGTTGGCGGTAGTCACACCTAGTGGACGAATACCACCAGCTGTACTCTTAGTTGTATCATAAACTGAACTGGTTGGTCTATGATTATTATTATTATAATTATTTATTATTACTATTATTATTTTATACCGAGTAGATGGTTTAAATCTGTCAGGATCATCACCCAAAGCTTTAGATGCAGTAGTTGCTGTCATGTCCCCAGACTCAGTTCCTCTCTTTGAAGGAAGTGGTAACTCTCTCCCAACTCTCTCGTCTTTGACAATATCAAACAGTTTCATTTCCTTCCAGAGAACCTTCCCTTTCAACTCATGACTAGGTGCTAGATAATCGCAACCGATAAAACCAGGGGGTTCAGCCTCTTCTGAATTATTATATAAAGAAATGACTGATTGTTCACCCGTTAAAATAGTGATTGATATTTGAGTGTAGCAATGAGAATTTAAAAGAACTAGTTCTGAGGTTTTAGGTGAGACCGTGTCTGACTGCATTTCAGCGTTTGCTCTTGTTTCATATTTAATTTCTAACTCTGGACTTCCATCAGGCTGCTTGACCTATACATGTACATGTGCATACAGATGAGTGAGAGAGAAAAAAGGAGAGGAAACTTTATCAGGAAACCAAATACTACAGATACATGTACTACAAACACAATTTTGGCAGGTGATGTTTGATAGTATGTTTAGATGTACCATAGTTACTGTAAGATCAAAGGGACCGCCAGGTGGTACATAGGCCATGTACACCTAACCGCTGCCAGTTAACGATATTCACTGCAAGATAATGAGATTCATTGGAGTACCGTATAGCGGAAAATTTTCGTGGATCCGTCCAAAAATCAATTTCGTGGCTTTAATTTTCGTGGTTTTCTACAATTCGCCCATCTTAAACCGTATAAAATCGATTTTCGCGGATTTTATTTTCGTGGGTTTCGAAAAAAACGCAAAATCCATGAAAATTTTGGGCCACGAAAATTTTCCGCTATACGGTATGTACATCTGTAATGAGATTCATTGGGTGAGTTTATCTGTAATGAGATGCACGAGCGATCTGCGCATGCTCAGTATCCAGCACATGGCAGAAAATGGCAGCATAGTATTATTGGTAGTAGGCTAGACCCAGCCGTTCGCCACTGTATTGACGAAAATAAAGCTCGTGCAGAGATAAATGCTACAGAGAAGTTCCAAGAAGGCCTTTATTGTTCTGTCAAGAAGTAAAAGAGAGGGATAGAGTTTGATCTCCCAGCAAACAAGCAAAACGCGCATCCGTCCCTGGTAGATCCTAGTCTCGCGTCAAAAAGAGGAGGAGTCTGGCTACGCGAGACTAGGTAGATCCCATAGATCTTACAGTAAATATAGCACATATTATATGAACCATGGTTTCTCGGTAAGACCTTCGCCCCTCGATGTCTGCCCTCGGCTTCGCCTCGGGCAGACATCTCGGGGCTCAGGTCTTACATTACTGATACACACCTCGAAACCATGGTTTATATAGTACTTACACCACATTCCCAAGGAGACTACAAATAGAATTATAAGCACATTCATTAAACTGATGCTCACTGGCCCACTCACAGATCTAAGACACATACATATTCTATGAATTAATAAATAGAGTGACCCTCTCATCACAACAAGTATTAGGTGCATTGTACAGACTACAGAGTGTATGAGATAAGTGCATTTCATTCATACCTTGACCCAGTGCATGGGGACATAAGGTGCAATGAGAGCACTTTTATAAAAATGATGTCTCAAGGACTGACTGCCAGTGATCCAAATATGGTCAGCTTTACGATACTGACACTCTAGAGGTTGCTTTGAATAAGGCTGGAGTGAGGTAGCCATGACGTCTTTGACCATGTTAAAATACGTGACGTTTTCTGTGGTTTGCATCACTTCATACTTCTCTTTTGAAATATAACCAAACTTATATGGTAGAGGAGAAACTGAAAATGCCAATGTACTGGGGGGATCTGAAGTGTAAACGAGGAGTTGGTGGCATCCCTTCTTGCATAGCCTCCATTCCCAGTACCATTGACATATCAGAATGGACAGAAGCTACTGATGACAGTAGAATACTCTTCAAGTGATCGAGATTTCTATTGCTGATGACAATTCTTCCTTTTTCTTTAATTGTAATTTCAGACTGCAATTTAGAATGCACAGTTATTTTGTATTGTTTGTTGATATGGCTCACGAAAGAAGAAACAGCACTGCCAGTATCTTTGTCATTGTAATATATTGTCCATGATTGCTGTTCTGAAGTAGTACAGGACAGGTAATAGGCTAAATCTGGTCAAATCCAAAAAAAGAAATTTGTATGAGAAGATTTGTCTTTTAAAATATTCATGGTGAACTTTTCTACACAATGTGAAATCTTGTGCTTGTCGAAGACATGCTAAAATAACAAGTGCTATTCTGTCATCAACAATAGGCTCAGTAGTGACAATTGTCTGACACATAAACTGAATGATTGAAGGCAAAGCGTCAGATAAACTACCATTCAAACCACTTTTTGCTAGTCCAAATACATACGTAAGGACTTCACTGCAATCCTTCCCCACTTTTACTTCATGTTCATCTTCTACTCGTATTGTTAATTTGTTGTTTTGACTGATTATATTTTGTTTAATGAATTCAATAAGAGTCATCAGTGGTTCCCGACTAAGATATACAGCTGCTGAGAACTTTTGAATCAGATGATCACCAAAACTGTAACTATTACCAGAAGAGTATGGTTCATCATGTATAGTTCTCATATCTATGAGTTCATGTGCCATGTTAACAATGATTTCAAGTGAATCAAGTTGATCAGGAGGTTTGTGAGAGATACTTAAAGAAGATATACCATGTTGTAACATAGCATTTGATAGATCAACTTCACTTGGGTTTTGACCTTGTGCCTTAAGAAAGCCAAGTCTCTCAACAACTGAGTGGAGGATTTCCCTTCGATCTCCTTTAATACTTGCATAAATGGCACCTAACCTTGTTTCACAATATACAAATTTTAGTGCTAATCGAGTCGCAATGAAATAAGCAAATTGATTCTCCATGGCTCTTGTCTCCGTGTCTGACCGTTTTGCTTGTTGCTTTTGCTGCGCATCAGAAATTTTTAAAATTGAATAAACTTTTTTTGTCAATGCAAGTGAATGAGGAGAGGCCATGTTGAATCCTATAAAGGAAATGAAGTAGACAACAATCAACATACACAGTACATGTATTGTATACATATTACGCGAGACTATTATTATTATTATAACTTTACAACACATTTGGGTCTACCATAATTTGGAGATAAACGTGTCTTGGCTTTTTCGGTTTTATCATTTTCAAAATCCTTTGTCACACCCATTAAAACTTGAAAGCAAAAAATACAGGTAGCAACAGGAACCAGTCTTTATGGGAAGTGAAATATGGAACATGAAGGCTGTAGCTCTCTTTTATAACCTTTTGAGCAGTTTAATTATAAAAATAGGCTGGAATGACTAAGCCCAGGCTATAAAACAGCCTAGTCATGCTGAGTCAGCTCAAGTTTCCTGTTTCATGCTGTAAATCTCGTGAATGTCACTCGAACTTACCCAGGATCAGACAGGTTAAAAGTTACAAGCTTCTGGAGTTGTTATATAAAGAAATAAGTTCACCAAAAGT